CCGTCCAATTTGAAATTGTAAAGCAAAATTAATTTGATTGCACATTCTGATACGATGCTCCCGATGTATCGCAATATGGCGCCCGTCTATTGTTCTCCACAGATTATAAAATACAATTTCTGTTTGACAGATTAAAAAAATGTGCGAAAAGGTTGGTACCTACCTACTCGTTTGTTCTGTGTTTTTCTTTTGTTATTGCAGTATATTGCTAATATTGTACTTTTTTTTTTTTATATTAAACGTAGCCCCACACTAGAACTTTCTCCTGTGTGTGGGTGCGTTTACAAACATACAATTTCACATGCACATAACACCCAGACCCGGAACAACAATCCGTGGATCACAAAAAGAGTTGTTCCATGCGAGAACCCCGCGGCACGTTGCGCGGCAGCCAGTTGCCCAGCCAGCGCGCCAACCGTGCAGTCAATCGTGATCGTGTAATGATACTGTTCTTCGAGGGAGGATAGTCATTAAATGACTTTTCTCGCCTGATATGGGGCCTGAGAGAATGTAAGACTCTCACTGACTAAAAAGGAGGGAATGGCGTGGCCGTTTCTTCTTCTACTCCTCTCTCATGAATGTATTGCACTTTAGTAAAACATTTTGATTGGATAACCAGAACGTCTTCCGATCTTCATTAGATTTTTTCCTTGGGATAGGTCTGTTTAATTGCAGACCTATTATGTACTGGTAAGCAAACAGCTCCGCCCACGCAATACCGAGGAATAACAACTGCTTTATTTATCGGCCTTTTGGACGTAATGTTTAGGGGATTGGGGATTTGGGGACGGAGATCAAGGTGAGGAGATAGGGCCTCCTGTAATCTCACTCAAGCAAAACAACGCTAGCATTGTTTTACGAGGGTTTAATGTGAGGATTTTATTGTGAGGTGAAAATCATCAAATATCTTGTCCCGCCTATGGTCAAACTCTCACTGACTAAAAACACCCCAGTTGATTCTCCAGCTCTGAGCCGAAAGGTGCCTCATTGCGCTTAACCCGCAACCCCTGCTGAACAACAGCCCTATAGAGCCCGTCGTTGGTAGTGTACTCGTATTAATAAGTCTTTCTCTCTGAAGTCTGGTTCTGGTCGGGCGGCGAGCTACACTTACTCGCCGTCCGCAGACCCGCGCTTACGGTGGCCAGAGATCATGCTTAATGCGAGACGACGGCCCTATTCATGCCGACCCATGGCTCTCCTTCATTTAATTCCCGCACATAACAAGTCAATATACGCTATAGACAAGTTTACCAGTTTTTCCTCGTTCGAGTGAAATCAATTGTATTAATTATATACTTAGTACTTATTGTGGGCAAAACAATCGGTGTTTACATACACACCCACAAGTCCACATAAGAACCAAAAATCGCAAAAAATACTATTTCATATGGGAAAGTTTCCAAACCTGGCAACATTTTTCAAGGAAGCCACTAAGTGATTATCGCTTCCCACTACTTCTTAGTAGATGGTCGTAAATATTTGTATGACAACCCGATCTGAAGGTTTTACGATAGAAATGTCTTTAAAATATATTAACATCTGCCCGCGACTTCAGCCGCAGTACGAAATAGGGTAAAAAGCCTATGTGTTATTACAGAATATAATCTATCTCTGTGCCAAATTTCATTCGAATCCGTTCAGTAGTTTTTGAGATAAAAGTTACAAAACATTCTTCCGTACTTACAAACTTAGTAGGGTTAGATACATAAGTAAGACACTTGAACCCAGTTTCTGAAAGGCTTGTCAACGCTAAAATTAACTGATCTCCTGTTAAATCTCTTGTCAAGTCATCTGATTGGTTGTTGATAATTCAGTCAATCAATCAGATCACTTGACAAGAGATTAAATTGATTTTAACATTGATCGGCCTTTCGGAAACCAGGGGTTAGTATGTCTGTATGTTTGAGTTGAAATGTGGGAGGACCACGCTTCGGCACGAATGGGTCGGCTCGACCGCAGTGATACCACGGCCTCACAAAAAACCGGTGTGTAACAACCACAGCGTTGTGTTTCGCCGTGTGAGTGAGATTATCGGAGGCCTAATCTATTCTATTAAATATTAAATATCCGAAACCCTATTTACCAAAAAATCGGCATCGCAGTCTTAATTCTTTTGGGGTGTCTCTGGGCGGCGCCGATTGCTCCCATCAGGTAAGTAATCTGTAATTCGTTTGGCGACCTATCTCATAAAAAATGTGCTCTGAAGCAGCACGGAGGTTGGTTGAAGCCTCCGAGTTGCTTTCTACTTAATAAGTAGAAAGCAACTCGGAGGAGAACATTGGTACTTGCTAAGTTTTGCATATTATGCAAAACTTAGCAAGTACCAATGTGTTTTTTCCCGAGTTATATGAACTTTCTAAGATTATTGCTTAGTTTATTTAGACGCAGCTGACAGCTGACGGTGAAGGAAAACAAAGCGACCCATTTTTGTAGAGGGAAAATTATCATATGACTTCTCCTGTCCAGCGTGAGGCGAAAGGAAGTGTCAAACTATTATTGACTTAAAAGGGCCCGTTCCTTCTCCAGCTCCCGACCGAGGTACCTATTATTGCTTTTTCCCCAGAACCCCAGCATCGCGGGGAAACCTGGGCCAAACCTGGCCTTACTTTATATCGAAAATATTGACTTCAACAATGTCTCACACAGAAAGAACACACAACCAATGACCCAAAATGAAACTAAAACATGATTTAGCGTTCAAATAACTTTTAATTATTCCACAAAATGGAAAATAATAAGAAAAAGGACTTTTCTAAGTAATCATCTAGTCGTAAATATTGTTAAATGACCGAAATAATTTAATATCACGGTTAGACGTTGACAAAGGTGTCCGCCATATTCAAATCGATTTTAAATTTAGAACGACAATTTGAATTCTTTATTAGAGTAAAGAGGTTAGGTTATTTAAGTGTTTTTTTTTTATTTTTTTTCGGCGTTATAATGATCATGCTAGCCTCTGGGCTGCTGGACATACCTAAAAGACTTCGGGATCGAGATAAGCATGTTGAAAATAACCAACTACTTAATAGTTTTTATTTATACGTCATACATCCGTCTCCTGTTTCACATTTTTGAAGTATTTTTCTTCTTGATTTGTGTGGCTGTGTTTTTAAACTTTATTTTTTGGGCAATACGCGCCTTGTCCAGAAGTATAGCTTTATGCATTAGCCCATTAGGCTCTTAACCCAACCATCTTAGATTAGCCTCGATTGGTGGTCGAGATGGTCGTTTTTTAAGTATAATTTTTTTTAAACTATGTTTTCTCTCAGCGTAGTGGGGTGTTTTAAAAGACAAATGCGGAATTGAATTAATCTTAGAAATTTAGGCAACATTTTAATAAAAAGTGAATATATTGTGAATACTTAATTATTATTTTTTTGTCATAATATCTCAATACAAAAAAGAAAAAAAAAACATTTAGTTGAGCCCTTTTAAATCTTACACAGGATTTTTTGGTATACACGGGACTATTTTTGTATGCCTTATTTCCTTGTAGTTTTTTTCTTTTATTTTAATATTTTCTTAGTTCGTTTTTTTTCAATTATTTTAATTTTTCTTAGATTGTTTTTTGCTTTTGATGTTCGCTACTGCTAAGAAGTTTGTAGTTGACTATTTAAATATTGTAAATGTACCTATGTGCTTAAGAAAACAAATACTTTTATCTTCACTCAAAACCGAAAATTATAGGATGATAAATGCATTGTTGCAATGTGTACATATCTATACTAATATTACAAATAAGTAAAATTTGTAATTTTGTATGTTTGTTAGTTTGTAAGTTTATGTGTAGGGGGTAATCTTTGGGACCGCTCTGGTCAGATTGCCAAAATTCTTTCACTGATGTATAGCTACAACGTTCCTGAGTGCTATAGACTATAAAACATCACGCTACGCCTAACTAGATCCCAGCAGCGGGTGAAACCGCGAGAGAGTAGCTATTACCTAATAAAATTTACACATTTTATAAGTTGTGGCCAATATAGTAATGCGAGCAAAAAGTGAATGCTTTTTTTGCAGCGGGCTGCAGCTTGGTTGTTATCACTCACGCCTGGGGGTAAGCGATGATGTGACCGACGATGGAGCACGCCTACCCATAAGCAACCTCTTCATTCGGGCCTTGAGACACCCAGGTCTCTGGGAAAGGTTCCTCCATTATTTTTTACAAAAAAAAAAAAAATTGCCAGTACGTTTTCCTTGATTTATGAACTATATTATTTATTATTAAGAAAGTTTTCGATTTTTAAATTTTTTTTAAATAATTATATAGTTTATTTGTCTGTTGTTATAGTCTTAAATAATATGATTGATTTATTATGAATGTATGAAAGTACTTATAATGCAAATAGGTAACTAAAACAAGTAATTTATTTTCAATCAATGATTTGCGGACTATTTTATTAATGGTGTTTTTTGCAAGTATCAGCTGTTTTAATTTTTTATTTATAGGATCAAGGTACCTCATCTAAATCCCATTATATAATATATTGAAACTGAAAAGCTTAACAGGCATTACAAAAAAAAAAGTTTTTTTCCGTAGGTAGGTTTTATGGTAAGAAAAACTTAATGGCGCACAATGCATACGATTATAAATTAGTTTCATACTTTTTAAATATAATTCAAATCAAACAATTTTAAATTTCGAAAAACATGACTCTAATACTCGATTCCGATTTCAAAAAAAAACGCAAAATAACGTACCTAATTATCATCTATTTTACGTTTTACGTGGAGAATATTTTTTTCCGTTTATGATGATGATATTTTTATGATAGTTTTAGAAAATATTACGTTTTTTATATTAGATAATTTATTATAAAAGTGTAAATAATTGTTATTTTAAGTAATTCATTTATAAAAATAAAACTAAAAAATAAAAATAAACAATTAATCTATCTCAAATACCTATATTTTCTTTTTTTTTTGCACCTAAATATTAAATTAAAAAAAAAACAGTAACGTCAATTGGAACAAGAAAAAAAAATCCAAGATGTCTGACTAACCTGTCAGTAGCTGCAGTTGAGGTGTAGCTGACGAGAAGGTGGTGATAGCAATGGTGGTTGCGTTCGTCTGCGGGCGCTTAATACGCGCTCTGGCTACAGGTGGGCGGGATCGTGGGCGGGGAATCCATGGAGATGGTATTGAGGCTTTTTTTTAATATTTTTTTTGTGTTGCGTGTACCTTTTAATCCAGAATTTTCGGTTTTCAAAATTTTCAAAACGATGCTAAAGTCATAACATTTTTGTACCTGCCAAACAGTTTGAGTTTATTTTAGGTACACAATTACAATTTAATTTAGTAATTTCCTAATTCGGTTTTCGGAGTTTTCAAACCAATAAACTGTTCTAAAATCATTACACACGTATTAATCAATTTTAATTTATTCTACGCAAGTTTCAGCGCGCGTCTCCGCCGGTGGTATATCGATAAACAGTAACCTATGTGGCAATCTAGGCAATCTAAATCAACCTATCCTCATATCATACTTCAACGAAATCAGATCAGATCAAAACTTTCACATATGTATAATTTTAGTTGGATGTATAGTTTATGTTACACAACACAACACAAAATCCCTGATTTATTATTATAATAAATAAGGAATTTTCTGCTTGTTTCTTTAAAAATATAAACATGACAAACAAGATGGTGACATTTTTGTTAATTTTTTGCGGCAAGTATAATAATAATCGAGTATAAACTATGTTTAAATGAGTATTTACATTATGACACACTTTTTAATCACATAACCTGAAAGGGACGATATAATAAAGATCCTTAATTGACAAGTTAAATAATAAATTATTTTATTATTCTGGATTTTTTCCATTATCTAAATAGGTAAGTACTCAAATTACATAAAATAAGACATCGCAATATACTACATGTAAGACATATTTTACAAATATAATTAAGTTATTCTAAAAACCTGAAAGCACAAGTCGTCTCCACTGCTCTCGCTGTCCGCGAATCACGAACGCACCTCCATACTTCGTAATTACAGCATTACGTTGTACAAAATGATTTCAGAATTCGATGAAAAAGTCTAGCTCATGATCTAGGTTTTAGACACAGGATCAAATTGGGTATTAAATGATAACAAAAAATGCATTATGGAAAAAAAATAATCTAGTTAAATCTGTGGAACACCGCGCGACATCTCTCGCCGGTTTCTACGCCCCGATGACCGGGGTAGATGACGAATCCGATGACGATGACGACCCGGTGATACCGGAGTGTCTTTAGAATGCAGAAAGTTTAAATGTAGGAGAGCCAAGCTTCGGCACGAATAGGTCGGCTCGATTGGGCTAATACCACAGTCTCACAGAAACCACAGCGTTGTTTCGCCGTGTGAGTGAGGTTACCAGAGTCTTATCGGCAACTTATCTGGTGTTGTTTGGGGTTTGGTCCATGGGTGGCGCTGATGGCTTACCATCAGATAATCCGTAGGCTCCTTTGACTACCTATCTCTTATTTTTTTTATAACTAGCAGACTGCGAAGCAGGTCGCACGTGTACCCGACTACTCTGGTGTCAGTCATTTGTTTTCCAAGCGAACGGCCACGGCGTTGAAAGGGTTGTTAACTACCGCTATTCCCCTTTACTTTCCTAAAATTTTCTCCTTATAATAACGAACATAACCAAAAAAAGAATTAGCAAAATTGGTCCAGGCGTTATTGAGTTATGCGCTTACCAACCATCGATCACTAATAAAGAATCACTAATAAAGTTCTATATTAGTGATCGATGTTACCAACACATTTCGCGATTCACTTTTATATTATAGATAGATTATATTTCGTTTTTGGAGCGGAGATTTCTAGTTTTTTTTTATTATAATTCCATGCAATCAGCGCCGGCCATGGATAGGTCCTAGTAGTAGACCTGAAACAATTCAGGACTTACAAATGCCTTGCCATCCTGTTACGGGGAAGGGATTTGCGGTTTGGGAATTCAGGATGGGGCAGAAGGAATACTAGGCCTCCAGTAACCTCACTCAAACGGCAAAACACAACGCAGTAATACGTTAGTTTCCAACTAGTCAAGTTCAATACTTTTATCCAAATGTCAAAATCGATACTTTTCTATAGAATTTGTATGAAAATCTGAGTTATGACGTCATAACATTTTTGCGTATTTATTTCTTAATAATTAGCTAGAAAAATCTAAAACTTAGTGTATCGATCGATCGATGAATAAAAGTATAGTTATTTTTTAATATTTTATTGTATTGAAACGTCGAATTAATTTATTTTTGACCTAGGAAACTACCCAATTGTTTCACGCCGATTTTCTTTGATGCAGTGGTATCTCTTTTGTCAAGCCGACCGAATTCGTGTCGAAGCGTGATTCTCCCATACATAAAGGTATTGTATGCATGTAAATAACATCAGAAATAGTTACCTAAGTACTTCACACTTCACAGGAAAGATATTCTCAAAGAAATTGCATTGAAAATATGCTTTTAAAACATCAAAAGGTAGATTTAAAAGTGCATTCAAATCTTTGTGTCATAACGCATGAGCGAGTCCAATGGACGTCCGTGCGTGCCTATATCGTAATTTACGTGGCAGACTGATACTTTAAGAGGTTTTCAGACTTACACGGGTACTTTATATGTATTATTTCATTTAATCCACAAAACCCCAAGTGAACGCGGGCGTTCGCGTACTTTTTTTTCTTTTTTTATGTAATAAGTCGGCAAACGAGCGGACGGATTACCTGATGGTAAGCAATCAACGCCGCCCATGAACACCCGCAACGGAGGAGTAACGAGTGCGTTGCCGACCTTTTAGGGATTAGGGATTTGGAGATATAGGGATTGGGGAAGGGGAAGGATTGGGCCTCCGGTAACCTTACTCACACGGCGAAACACAACGCTGTGGTTCTTTCACGCCGTTATTTATCAATATTTTATTGTATTCAAACTTCGAATTAATTTATTTTTGATCTTAGAAACTACCCAATTTAAAAAAAAAACTTCCAAGTAGGCACATGTAGATACCATTTAATACAAAGTTCCTTTTTCAAATTCTTCTTTGGAAAAGTGTACGTGTTTGTTCTATTTTCAAAATGTCAACGGATTTACGAAGATTTTGAGTTACGTAGGCACACATAGGCAAAATAACCAGATAATAACTCTTACAAAACTAACGACTTCAAAAGCTCTGGTACATTAACTGTCTGACACTTATTTTAATTCTGGTTAAGACTCATATTCTACAATACATATTAGGTATATATTTTGTAAAAATCACCCTAATCTTCTTATATATAAAAATGGAGCGCAAAATGTGTTGGTAAGCGCATAACTCAACAACGCCTGGACCAATTTTGCTAATTCTTTTTTTGTTATGTTTCTTATTGTCAGGAGAAGGTTTTTATCAAAGAAAATATTAGAAAATTAGAGGAGAAAATTGGGAAAAAGTGACCCTTTGATAGCGAGATAGTTAGACCCGTGCGAAGCAGGGGCGGGCCGCTAGTCTGACATAATTATACGGTGAAGGAAGTAATAAAATGAGGTAAGGAGGAGGAAAATATCGTGACGATAACTGGACTTACAATATCTAATTATAAATTTGAAATCGTCAATCCGTCTTGAGCACGTGTGGCGATTTACGGTCAAACCTCCTCCGTGAGAGAAGAGGTCTTTGCTCAGCATTGGCCTTTGTAGGCTGATGATGATGATGAATCGCCAATCTGTCTTCAGCAAGCGTGGTGAATAATGGTCAAACCTTCTCCGTGACAGAAGAGGTCTTTGCCCAGTAGTGGGCACTTATAGGCTGATGATATAGCCTATAGCACTCAGGAACATTGTAGCTGTACTGTAGTATCAGTAAAAGAATTATGGAAATCCGGCCAGCAGTTCCAAAGATTACCCCCTACATACAAACTTACAAACTTTACCTCTTTATAATATTAGTATAGATTTAAGCGCCCTCTAGGATTTGGTGGCTGAACCAAGACTGAAGACTAGTCACTGTTCTGATGTTATCAACAACAAATTGCTTTGTGAAATTACTTAAAAGACATTATTTATTTTAAAATTGAGTAATTAGATATACAAAAGCATTTTACGTAGGTGCAATGACTGTTTATTCTTTATTTTCATTTCAATTTAATTTTCAACTATAATTGAAACGCATTCATTCTTTTATGTTCTTTTTTCAATGAACTCCTTTGTATTAAACTAGCAACCCACCCCGGCTTCGCACGGGTGTGATGCTGATACTAAATTGCTCCACAATTTTAGGGACGCTGTATAAAACCTATTCCTTTCTATTCAATCAGCCTATCTGTAGGCCTACCGGGCGAGAAAGAGGGATGGAGCTATAAAAGGTGTATAGCTCTATCCCTCTTTCTCGCCCGGAAGATTCACGCTTTAACACGTCATGGTAGGCCTTCTCGGCGAGTAAGGGTAGCTCGCCGCCCGACCAGAACCAGACCCGAGCATACAGCGCGTAGCGTTCCGCGCGCGCCTCAATGAGCCAATAGACCACCACAGACGGGGCCCTATAGGGCTGATGTTCAGCCGGGGTTGCGGGGTAAGCGCAATGAGTCACCGCGGCCTCGGCCCAGAGCAGGATAAGGAACAGGGGGGTTTTTAGTCAGTAAAAGTCTTTCACTCTCGCTCGCCTTACCTGGGCGGAAGAAGTCATTTGATGATTGACACCTGATAAAAAATGGTAGCCTCTCTGGCTGCCGCGCAACGTGTCGCGGTTTCGATTCCCGCACGGAACCACTATTTGTGTGATCCACAGATTGTTGATCCGGGTCTGGGTGTGATGTGTACGAGAATCTGATGTCTGTACGTAAACGCATTCACGACACAGGAGAAAATCCATAAGTTAATCCTGATGTGGAAGTTTTTGTCACTTCAAAAAAAGATGGAGGTACTATTTTTATTATAACTTTCGTGAGACATTCTAAATTATTTATTATGTTTACACCGCGACACGCGACTCGGCGACTGTCGCGCTGCTATGCGGAATGCTGCTCATGAATATGGGCCTCTAGCATGGCTTGAAACTATAGTCGAGTACCTCGTCAAATTATTACGTGAGTAAG